TCAGACAGATCAATAAACTTTAAATTAAATTTAAGCAAAACAACAGGAACAACTAACAAAATGGCTACTGAAGTCTCTGTTAACAAAACTGTCCTTCAGAAAAAGAGCTAGCTGAGAAAATGCAACAGGCTAAAGACTTTTGTCATCCAAATTTTAGTAAAAAAAGAAAAATAATAAATCATCCAAATAGAAGTTATTGAGCTCGTTTTAATTTATTATACAATTATTTGATTTATTGCAACAGGTCTGCACACAAACTGACTATTTACCAATTAGCTGAACTTTGAGGGAACCTGGTTGCACGTGATTTTATTCAGCGTAGAATGGTCTAAATATGGTCAGATTTTTATCTAGTAAAACATTTTACAATCATTTGTGTTGGTCTGCTAAATAAAATACAAAGAGGTTTATTGTTGCAATAGAAAAAGTTAAAGAGGTATGAATACAGCGCAACATTTTACTTTGACCTCTACGCTGCACTACTAGAGGTTGCTACAATAAGCCACAAAGCAACACTTGCAAACAAGACAAAAACATTTATAATTTGCCCATAAAGACCTAAAATTAAAAATCATTAAATATGCACCACAGTTTCATTAGAACAGCAGCTTTTGAGCTGCAGGTGTCATTCTCACCTGGTAGAGGGATGTGCATGCCTGGCAAAGGCACCCGGAAAGGTGGCACCATGACGGGTGGGAAGGCAGGTATGGCTGCAGTGGGCTGGGCCACACTGTGAGGCAAGGCTGCTGGCAGCAGTGGCACAGTCTGGACCGCCGTGACAGGGGACGGCACCGTGGAAACGGTCACCACGGTGACCGGCGACACAGCAACAGTGGACGTCACGGTGGCAACAGGGGGGAGGTCTGCTACAACGGTGGCTGTGAGGTAAGAAAGACAAAAACGACAAGGCACTTTAAGCTTCGTGTTCGCTGAGGCGCTGAGCGCCGAGGAACATTTGCTTACCTGCGATGGACACAGAGGGCGAGGGGGTGGTGATGGGGTCTGGACTCGAGGTCAGCGTGTGGGTCGGGGTAGAGGTCGGGGCCTGAGTGGGGGAGGCCGCCGCCGTGCTGGCAGCTGTGTTTCCGCTGTTGGTGCTAGTGGGTCCGGTTGCACCCACGTTCGCACCAGAACCTGCAGCTGTAGCCCCCGCTACCAGAAGAGGGTTGAGTTCAGACTGCTGGATGATCTTCACACCATCTGGTTTGCTCCATGATGACTCTCTGGTCCGAGCGTTGTAGTAATATGTCTGAGGAGGAAATAAGTCATCAAACAAAGTTATTTCTTTTATTGAAAAGCTTAGCAGCAATGTAGGAATCTGCTAAACCTGTTTTATTTACTCCCTCAAGTCAATTTCTCCCTCCTTTTTTGCTAAATAAATATTCCAAACACTTCAAAGTACGTATTTATGTTTTTTAAAACATTTTAAATGCTTAATAGGAAACATATTCTGGCAGCATTTTGAACATTTTATAGTCAAGATAGGGATCTACATTATCTGGAGAAATGGACAGAAACAGGCCCTTTCAATGTGTACATTTCATTTACATTGACTTTAAATGAGTAAAACTCTGTTTTACAGCAAAAGATCTCTCAATTTGTTTTCAAACTATGATTTTGTCACCAGCATTACTTTTGCAGGTTTACAAAGCAATGATCACCTCAGTAGATTACAAAAACTGAATGTATCTTTCACTGTTATTACAGAACAGGTATATTTTAGCTTTTATTATGCAAGTTTAACCATAAAACAAACATTTTCAAGAGAATGCAGCCAAAAATGTTCGGACTAAGGATCTGTGCTTGAGTTAAGCAGTTGTCCCTTATGAATATAATTGCAATCAAGTTCTTTCCTCCAAGATAAATGAAAAAAAAATATTCTGATGGGAGTTTTCATCCTACCTTTCCCTCTGAAGTTTTGTTCTCTACCCAGATTTCCTCTGCGGGATTGAGAGCTGGGTTTCCAGATGCAGGAACAGGAGGCATCCCAGGAGGAAACAGCATCCCTGGAGGAGGCGGCAAGTTGCCAATGGGAGGGGGAAGGAAAGGAGGCCTCTGCAGAAGAAGATGCAACAATGCATTTGGCTATCAGACTTTCTATCACAACAAAACATACATTTGTAGCAAACAGAAAACCTGCAAGAATAATTCAAAGTGGCTGATGCGTCATGGACTCATTTAAAGAAAGTCTCCCTGCATTAAAGAATCAATTACTGCAAAAGCTAGAGAGATCATCAAACATGCTAAGTCATATCCTTCTCTGATGAGTGAAGTCTTCTAAAAGCTGAACTTGTTAGGTTCACAGAGAGGAAAGCACAAAAAGCATTATTCATGTCTACTCACTGCTTCTCTCTTTTTGAAAATTGCTACTAAAAATAATACAAACACTAAGAAAACTACACCTGTTAATTACCTGCAACTGTTCTAATAATTTTTACAATTGCTTTAAACTCCGAATATAAAAAGTGAAAAAGCAACTAGCATCAACTGTCCCTTCAAATAGGAAATGAATAGATTTTGCATCAACTGAATAACAAAGCGATGTGCTCCATCTGTGGCCGGATGTTGGAAAACAAAGAGCTCTCCGAACGTATAGCATGAAATCAATATGTAACATGGTGTAATACAGTTATAATGACTGTGAAATATGGCATACACAATGACAGAAAGAAGTGCTAATGTTGCAGAAATATGTAAAACATTCACCTGGAGGTGAGGAGGTCCAATGGGTGGTGGCATGCCTCCGGGTGGTGGGATAGGCGGCATGTTTGGGTCAAAGGGAGGTCGAGCAAACGGGGGTCTTGGCGGCGGGCCCCTCATCATGCCAAATGGAGGCGGCGGTGGCCTTAGCAGTGGCGGAGGCCCTCGTAAAACTGGGGTCTGGGCTGGCGTAGGTGCGGGGGCAGTGGCAGGCGCAGGGCTGCGGAACCGCACTGCCTGCTGCGCCATTCTGGTCAATAAAGTAAAGGATTTTAATGCTTCAAGCTGCAGCTCTTCAATGCACAATACAAAAAGAAAATTAGAGCTGCACCATACGTAGAATGCAAATGTGTGAAGGTGGTTAGCCATTTTCAGTATCAGTGAAGAGTCTGAAAGATGATGTCAGAGGAAGAACAAAGGCTTCCAATAAGGAAACTTTGTTTTCTACAGATGCATGCTGGCATTTAAGCAACAATTATTAAGCTGTAAGTATTACACCAAAGCTCCTTTCTTCTATTTGTCATGTACAATTGTGTTTTAGGCAACACTGGCAGTAGTTTGAAAAATTAATTTCAATCAATTGAGCTAATGGCCCAACATCTCTTAAAGGAATACAGAAAACACTGATGTTTACAGTTAGCAATGCTTTGTACATGGATTTACTCAGTAAACTGTGCAAAACATCAATATAAAAACAGTTCAAAAAGTCAACTTCATTCTTTGTTTATTTTGAAAAATTAGTGAAATCCAGTTAGTTCTATGTGGAGCTGTTTAATGCAGACTGCTGAAATATGGTGCCCATTTAGAGATACAGGTGTACCATAAAAAACAACAAGCAAAAGTGAGATAAGGAGGTATGCTTTAATTCTTTTTCACTGGGACTTATTTATACATACCTATGTTCAATAACATGGCTGATGCAGACATTAACTATCTTACCATATATATTTATTTCCAAAACAAATCAATTTAGGTTCAAAATATTTTTACAATTTCTTCAAGGGAAATTACAATCAGCTAAAAATCAGTATTTATCCAGATCACTTCTGTATCTTCCCAGAATTTCTACCATCTTAAATCTGCAAACAGTGCAGCAGTGCAATTCCCCATGAACCAAAAAGTCAACAATAGCCTCTAAGAATATTTTAAAATTGGTATAATATCGGTATAAACTACACATGTTTATAGTTTAAATGTGTATGTGAGTTTTTTTGTTGTATGCGTTTGTAGTAATGTAGTCTATTAACCAACACACTTATATACTAAATGCTTTCGGGTCATACTCAGATAACTCTGAACAAAAATCAATCATGTTGTGATTGTCGCCTCTTGCTAGTCAGGCTAATAGCCACCCCGTTCATTCAATATACAGAGCGGACTGCTGTTTACCTAAACATATTACGTGATTTATCTAACAAGCTTTTAAATGTAAATATGCAACTTGTGAGAACATAAGACCGGGCTCTGGTCAAAACAGTCGTTTTAGGATTAGGAAAGTTTCTGATCCGCGTGTTATAGACGGAGAGGCGCAACATAAGGCTAGTTAGCTACAGGCTAGTTAGCTGCCGTGGCTACATTCACAAGTAAAAACGCCAAAAATCTCAGTCGTAGACATCCCCGACCAGGTGCATATAAAATCTGCATTTGTATTTAATATTACACTTTAACCATTTTGCTGTAAACTCGTATTTTTCTCATAGCTGACCTGTTGTCGTTAAACCCAAGAGTTTCGCTCTCTGTCTGGTCCGCCATTACAGGAAAGTGTAACCGCTTTCTTCCTGGAAACGCCCCCAAAAGGTAATCACACGTTTCTATTGGTTGATCGTTGCCGTCCATAACGGTCCAGTTCAAGCTGCGCGCTCTGCGATTGGACACAAATGTTCTCGCGATCCTTTAGCTAAATGTTTATTGGCCTTCTTTTATCAGTTTATCTTTGTTCAGCGTGGAGCTAAGGATTTTAAACATAGGCTGTTCTGCTAATTTTTCATGCTGTTAGTGCTGACTCTGTTGTGCATTTTAATGTACGTACATCTTAATGTAAGCATTAAACGTTTGCACAGGTCAGTTATAGTTACCAGTGAAACTTTGGTTGAAAATGCACTTCAAAATATATCCATCCTTTATCTTCAAAGTTAAGATATTTTATTTAAAAATCGAGTCACGATTGAATGACGTGCCCTAAAGTCATTCAGTGACCCTTCAGTATTTCTCCTTAAAAATATAAAAGAAAAAAAATTCAAGATTCAGGAAATTTGAGCATGTATAGTAAGAAATGTTGATATAAAAAAGTGTATGCACCATGTATTGTGAACATTTTATTTAAAAACATGAAATCAGCTATCACCTGGAGGCTGGCTTATAAACTCTCCACATTGTTTAGTCTTGGTGAGAGGTGACATCAGCCAACACTGAAATTATGTTGAGCCAATGATGACTTCTTAGATAAAACCAGCTGAATAATAACGCTGCACTGAATAACCATCAAAGACAAATGGCCTCAAAGCTCCATCGTGCCAGTAACTTTGGTCGAGGTTTTCCTCCTCCATCCAGCTTCTGGCAAATCCGGGCCTATAAAAGCATTTTAAAAATAAATTTAAATCTTTGTGATTTATTGACTGTCAAGTATCTAAATACACTGAAAACAAGATGTGTAAAATATGGCAATCAGAAACTTTACACCGAACCTTAAACTCTGGCTCTGGCCCATATGGTACATGGTTGCTTGATGATGGGGGTTAAAGGGCAAATAGGAATTGCAGGAGACTGGTTGAGGCACAGGAGATGGACCAAATAGAATAGGGTCCAGAAACCTGGGTTGACCTGAAGGCATACTTTGTGAGCCAATACAGTGAATATTTGAGTCCTGCTGTTGTCCTGATGTTTGGTCATATTTCCCTTCAAAAGCTTGCTTTCTGTCTTTTCTCTTCCGGGGGCGATACTCGTAATCTGGTACCACAGTCAGAGCCAACATGAGTTATAATCAAAAGTTACGTCATCAAATGTCTTCCACAGAATACTTGACTAGAAGATGAAGTGATTGTACAGTCAATAATTAACATAAGCTTTTCAAATCCACTGTCGGACATACATGTAATGTTCATACCAGGGAAGTGCAGTCTGTGCATCTTCTTCAGCTTGTCAGCTGCTTTAAAGTAGGGCCTCTTCTGTTCCTCACTGAGCTTATACCACTCATTTCCAAGCTGAACACTGATGTCATTGCTGGTTCTTCCTGGAAAGGCTTTTTGCATGGCCTCTCTGTGGACGCGAGCCCACACTAGAAAAGCGTTCATTGGCCGTTTGACCCGTCCGTTCTCTTGGATAAACTGGTTAGGTTTGAAATCTGAGGAAAAGATTTTAGGTATTTACATCCAATCACAGTAATGCAGTTAGATCCACTTTAAAAAATCTCTAACACACAATCCTAACAGTGGCTAAT